AGAAGGACCCTAACAGAGTAGAACGGCCTCTGTTGGTTTTGTCAGTCTTCAAGGGAACAGAAAGCCTCCTCCTTCTCCCGCAGAGCAGCTGGTGGGATCGAACTGCTGACCTTGTGGTGAGCAGCCCACCTTCAACAGCAAGTCGCCTGGTCTTTCTCCTGGGTGGATGTTGTCCAGGAGAACCTTCCCGTGAGCACCGCTCAGGGTCTCAGAGACAAAGCCATCTTCCCTTGAGAAAGACGAGATGCTCGTGGAATGTCAACAGGGGGAAACTGAGGCCCGGAAATGGGCAGTCACCCTGCCAGAGCTCCAGAGCCAGGCAGGGCCAGAGCTGGGCTGTGGTCCAGGTTGCCTGCTGGCCAGCCTGGGGCCCTTCTGGCAGGCTCCTGCTGGCCTCCATCCAGCAGGCCTCTCTGGGCAGGGACCAGATGTTCCTCTGACATCAACACATCCCCTCCCCTCCACCCGTGGACCTGGCCCTCATTCTGATCCTCCAGGCTCCAGAGTTTGGCCGGGAGCTATGATGGGATTTAGATGGGATTAAGAACCCAGAGCCCCCCTGTTCCCCTGTCCCCACTGCAGGATGACAGTTATGAGCCTTGTGGTTCTTGTCCTGAGCTGGGGCTCCCTGGGCCTGGAGGCAGCCACTGCCGTGGTGAGTGCTGGGGGCAGCCTCCCCAGTTTGAGGGAGGAGGGGCTGGAGTTCAGGACTCCTGGCCTGAGGGAGGAGGGGCTTGGGGGTCAGGACTCTTGGTCCAAGGGAGGAGCCTGATCTCTGGGTCCCCAGGGACTGGAAGTGGAGCAGGGCCTGACTGCAGGTGTCTAGATTCAGATCCATTTCAGGTTCGAAATCTTTTTTCTATCACCCACACCCCCCAATTCCTCAGGGTCTCAGTGACTTCTGCTCCAACCCGGACACCTACATCCTGAACCTGACCCAAGAGGAAACAGGGCTCCGTTCAGGTGATCTGACCCACAGGGTTCCCACAGATGTCCCGGTGCCCAGCCTACCCCCACCCCCCAGGCCACCTCTTCTGGACATGGGGGTGGGGTTAGAGGAGGTGCTGGAGCTGGACTTCCAGGACAAGGAGAGCTTGGCCAGCAGGACATGCAGGGGGGCATGGGGGTCCAGGCAGGGAAGAGGCAGAGGCGGGTTACTGATTTCAAGGACAGCAGTGACCAGCCTGTAGCTGGGATGTTGTGGGGCAGAGATGCTGGGACAAGGGGGCATTGGGAAGTGGGGCAAGAGGGATTGGAGGCTAGGACAGGAGGGCTGGGGGACAAAGGGCACTGGGACAGGAGGAATAAGACCTGGGGCAGAAAGGATGGGGCCTGGGGTTAGCGTGATTGGGGACTGGGGACACTGGTGGACCTTTGATGCCAGGCCATCGGGATCACAGAAGGGTTCTAGAGATGAGGAGTGGCCGAGGCACCGACTGAAGTGGAGTGACAGGACCCTGGCCCCACCCATCTTCCCCCAAGAGGTCTCAGGTGTGCGGGCTCCCCATGACCCTCCCTCTCCCCCTCCCCCTCTTCTTCCTGCTCAGACATCCTGAACTATTATTTCCTCTGCAATCAGGACTCGTCCAACCCTTTCCAACAGGTAGGGCTGGAGGTGAGGGGAGCCCATGTGGTCGACACTCCAGAAGGGAGGAGGGAAGGGCTGGAGGTCTACACCTCCGAGTCCTGGGGAAGAAGGGAGGGGTCAGAGGCCAGGGTCCTAGCCAGGAGAGAGTGCTCCCACCTCTGTCCTTTACCAGAGGCTGATTCTGTCGCAGCGAGCTCTGGCCAACATCCACTCTCAGCTGCAAGGTCTGGAGAGAGAAGCGGTCCCTCAGTTTCCATCTGCACAGGTGGGCAGGGCTTCGTATGTGGGCGTGGCCTTCAGGATGGGGCCTGTGGGCGGGGCGAGCCTGTGGGGTATGGCTGCTGGCTGGTGGTGGGAGGGACCTTGTGTGGACAGGGCCTTGTATGTGGGCATAGCCTTCAGAGTGTGTGCAAAGAGCGCCTCTGGTGTGGGCCTGTGGGCAGGGCGAGCCTGTGGCGGTGGGGGCAGTCCACTCCCTGGAGATGAGGCATGAAGGGAGGGTCGAGGGCTGGGCGGGGCCTGAAGGCTGGGCAACGCCTTCTGGGCTTGTTCTGAAGAATTGAGTAGGCTGGCTAGAGGGGAGTGGAACCGGCCGAATTGTGCTGGTTGGACAACTGTGGCGTGGTCTTCCGGTGTGGGCGGCACCTTGGCCTGGGTGGGCCGTGGAGTGGGCCAGGTCCACTGAGTGTGGATGAAGCATTGTGGGTGTAGTCGATAAACAGGCCAGGTCAGCCAGGTGTAGGCAGAGTCACCAGAATGGGGCTGTTTGTACCCGGGTGTTTGGGGGGTTCACCTGTCAACCTGAGTGTGGGCGAGACTGGTAGAATGGGTGGGTCTCCCAGATATGTGGGGAGCCAGAAACTTTTACCTGCAGTCTAAGTGTGGGTGGGGTCAGAGGACTGGGTTGCCTTCGGACCTAGACAGGACTGGAAGACTGGGGTGGCCTGGTCAGATGTAGGCGGGACTTTTGGAATATAGGTACAGTCTCGTATGGATTTGAAAGGCTCTTCTGGTGTGGATGGGGCTGGAAGCATGGGAGGGGCCCAGTGGGTTGGGGTGGGGCTCCTGTGTTGGGGGCGGGACCTACAGAGTTGGGTGGCTCCCCAGCCACAGGTGTACTAACAGCCTCTATCTCCCCCACCTCAGAAACCTCTACTGTCCTTGGAGGGGACCCTCAATGTGACCGAGGGAAACTTCCATCAGCTGGTGGCCTTGCTGCACTGCCGCGGCCTGCACAAGGTGGGCCCCACCCCACCCCAATGCCCTCTCCCACGGAGCCCCTGCCTGAACCAGTCACAGGGCCCCGGAGACCTGGGTTCCAGTCTCAGGTTGCCCCTTCCAGACTGTGGGACCCCACACAAGTGGCTTGCCCTCTCCGGACGCTCCCATTTCTTTTCTGCACTGCCAAAGTCGGGCCTAGGGGTCTGACCCCCGCATTGCCAGGCTGCCCCAAGGGCAAAATGAAATTTATTTTGTATCCACGACACAGAATTCCCCGCTTCTTTGAACCTCTGTCTCTCCCAGGGCCTTCAAACCAAAGCAAGCCTTCTCTGCTTCTCCGTGTGGGTCAGAGTGGAGTTGCACCCACCCTGCACGGGTTTTAACCACTGATGTTTCGGAAACAGATCACCTGGCCTTTCTTCCAAGGCACCTCTGTGTGGGCACGAGCTTCCTTCCCGTTTTTCGGTTCGCAGCCAAACCGGAAACTGTCAATCTGGGGCTCCTTCCTCCGCCTCATTGGCTCTCGAACAGATTCCACCATGCCCACCCCCTTGTTGCCCAAGTCAGAAACCCAGAAATATCCCTTTTAATCCTGATTTTTCACTTACTGTCGGGAAAAGACACACACCGGGACGTCTGCCAACAAGACGGCCTCCGCGTTTGCAGATCAAGGACGCTGACGTGGGTTTCCAGGCTCTGCCACCATTGCCATGACATGAAAACCTCTCTTCTTTTGCTTGGTTCTTTGCTGCCCGCTCTTACTGCCCTCAACCGCCCTGCCAGTCAAACCCTCTGAGACCGGGCGGCAATCTGGCAAAGATGCCACCCAGGACCTCCCCATCCTTAGTTCTCACCCTACTGCCAACAGGAGCCCATTGCCGCCCCTTTCTGAGCAGGACAGCCCATAGCTACTCCTCCCTTTAAAGTCCTCTGGGGACTTCCCCTGGGCACAGAGGAAAGCCCTGAGCCTGCTCCT